TTCCAGACCATGACACAAGACATCTGGATCCCAAGGCCCCCTGGCTCCAAGGAATAACACCTGGGCCTTCGTCTTTATTCTGACCAGTTCCTAGATGCCGGAAGGGACACATTCACCAGACCACTGTCCTTAGTAAAAACTCCCAGATCCTGAACAAAAATGAATCTCCTTCCTTTCCTTTCTGACTCTCCCAGACACTCTATCTGCACTTTCTCTACGCCTTCAATAAACTCTGCTTTCATTTCCTGCTAGCATTGTTCCATTTCTATCCTATGCACAGCCAGGGACTTCCAATGCTGGTCCTGCGGGAATCCCTCTGGGTTTCCAGACTTGGCCTGCTGGCATCAGGTTTAACCCAAGTGATTCCATTTTGGGCCTGCTGCTGCTGCTGCTGCTGCTGCTGCTTCTTCTTCTTCTTCTTCTTCTTCTTCTTCTTCTTCTTCTTCTTCTTTTTTCTTTTAGATTTTATGTATTTTAGAGAGAGAGAGAGAAAGAGAGCAAGCAGGGGGAGGGGCAGAAGGAAAGGGAGAGAATCCCAAGCAGACTGTGCACTAAACACAGAGCCCGATGCAGGGCTACATGTCATGACTCTGAGATCGTGAACTGAGCCAAAATCAAGAGTCAGTCACTCAACCAACTGAGCCACTCAGGTGCCTCCGTTGGTTCATTTTAATAGAATTCAGGTATATTAAAATTTTAAGTGCATTCATAATAAAGGAAATGCATGTTAAAACTATACTGAGTTGCCTCTTCTGGATGTGATGCAGTTACTAAGGCTGGGCTTAATAAACTCACTGTAAAAAACTATAAAACTAGACAGAATGTATGAAAAATGTTTCTGACTGGGGACAACATGCAGTTCAGACCTGTGATCCCTGAAAAAAAGCATCTTCTATTCCATAGTATAGGGGAGGAAGGGTCCAAACAGACCACAGCAGACTCTCTAAGATGAGAAGACAGAGATTTGAATTCAAGGAGGTTGAGGTAACTGGGATTTGGGTAGCAGAATCCTAGGGAGCCAGAAGCTACACAGAGAAAATATCTAGAAATTTCTATAATGGGTCGTCTTGAGTCTGTTCCTAGTAGAATCAATGTCCGGCAAAGAATGAACAAGAAACTGTAAGCTGAATAATTCTCAGAGTTCATACAGATCTGGGAGATGCTCATGTCCTGGTTGCCATAATTAGTAAAAGTGTTAAACTAGCCTTAGAGGAAGGTCAAGAATTGCTCAAGCTTCAAGCCAAGGTCACACTCTTCTTGGGGTGACTCATCTTTACAAAGCTACAAAACAAGCCTTGAAAGAGTCAAGCTGATCTGAAAGTAATTTGAACTGTCTTAAAGAAAAAAAAATTATTTTATTCTGGTAAAATACATATAACATGAAGTTTAACTTTTTAAATTTTAAAAATTTTTTAATTTTTAATTTTTTTAAATTTGAATTTTATTTTATTATTTATTTTTTATTTGTGAGTGGACAGTTCAGTGGCATTGACATTAAGGACATTCACACTGTATGCAATGATCACCACAGCCCATCTCCAGAACTATTTTCATCTTCCCAAGCTGAAACTCTGTCCCCATTAAACATCAACTCTCCATTTCCCCCTCCCCTCAGCCCTTGGCAAAAGCCCTTGTACTCTCTGTCTCTATGAATTTGACTACTTTATTTTTTTTAAACATTTTATTTATTTATTTGACAGGGAGAAAAATCACAAGTAGGCAGAGAGCCAGGCAGAGAGAGAGGGGGAAGCAGGCTTCCCACTAAGCAGAGAGCCCGATGCGGGCTCAATCCCAGGACCCCGAGATCATGACCCGAGCTGAAGGCAGAGGCTTAACCCACTTAGCCACCCAGGTGCCCCTGAATTTGACTACTTCAGGTACCTCACATAAGTGGAATCATACAATATTTGTATGTAGCATTTGTCACAATTTCTTTCCTATTAAGGTTGAAAAGTATTCCATTGTATCGATATAGCACAATTTGTTTATCTATTCATCTGTCCAGGACACTTGACTTGCTTCTGCCTTTTGGCTGTTGTGAATAAGGCTATTACAAACATGGGTGTACAAATATCTGTTTGAGCCACAATGCTTTCATTTCTTTGGGGTATTAACCCAGAGGAGGGATTTCTGGATCATATGGTTCTAATGCTTTTGAAGGAAAACAACAAACTCTGACACTCAATGTAAAATTCATGATGTCTAGCACTCAATCAAAAATTAATAGGTATGCAAAGTAGCAGGAAAATGTAATTCAAAACCAAGAAAATAATCAGTTAATAGAAACAAAAGCAAAAAATGACAGACATTATGGAGTCACGAGACAAGCTTTAAGTAGAATGGAGTGCAGGGATCTCATGACCCTGAGATCATGACCTAAGCTGAGATCAAAAGTCAGGAATCAGAAGCTTAATTGACTGAGCCACCCAGATGCCCCAGGAAACATGGCCTTTAAAATTATGCTTGGGGCACCTGGGTGGCTCAGTTGTTTAAACATCTGCCTTTGGCTCAGCTCATGATCCCAAGTTCCTGGGATCAAGCCCCATGTGGGGGTCCCTGCTCAGCTGGGAGCCTGCTTCTCTCTCTCCCTCTCTGCCCCTCTCCTCTGCTTGTTCTCTCTCTTTCAAATAAATAAAATCTTGAAAAAAGAATAAAATAAAATAATTATGCTCAAGGACTTAAAAGAAACAAACATAACAGGGCGCCTGGGTGGCTCATTCAGTTAAGTGTCTGACTCTTGATTTCATCTACAACCCTGAGATTGAGCCCCAAGTTGGGTGTGGAGCCTGCTTAAGATTCTCTGTCTCCCTCTCCCTCTGCCCCTTCTTGCTCACGCTTTCTCTAAAACAAACAAACAAAAACAGAAACAAATAGAAAAAAAAGAAACAAATATAATGAAAAAAAAATAAGGTAATAGAAACAAATAAATAGAACTTATAGAGATTAAAAAAAAAAAAAAAAAGACCAGTCAGCTTAAAGAGTAGCAGTGGAAACTATTTTAAGATTTACAGTTAGTGATCTCCTCCCTGTAGTGGTTCTTACCTCAAGCCCTGGGAGTCTGAAAACACTTCTTTTCCTTTCCCAATGTTTTAGTATAGTTCTTTCGCCTCCTGGTCCATGTAGCTTCAGCTATTGGTAAATATCCTGAGAACGAAATCACTCTGAATTTGAGGCCCCCAAGTCTCCAATGTTATTATGTTAGCACAGCATAATTTTTCAAAAGTTCAACTGTTTTTTCCTCTATGAGATCGGCAGCCCTTTGCCTGGACCATGCCTTAAATACTCTGAGTAACATTTAAATGTGTAATATTTGAAAAAAATTTTTTAATTTGACAGAGATCACAAGTAGGCAGAGAGGCAGGCAGAGAGAGAGGGGGAAGCAGGCTCCCCGCTGAGCAGAGAGCCCAACGTGAGGCTCGATCCCAGGACCCTGGGATCATGACCTGAGCTGAAGGCAGAGGCTTTAACCCACTGAGCCACCCAGGCGCCCCTATAAACTCTTAATAGAGTAGAGAACAAGCAGAAAGTGCTCCTCTACTTTGTATCCCCCCTTTGCCTGTGGAGGGATACATTCCAAGACCCTCCATTGATGCCTGAAACTGTGGATAGTGCCAAACCTTATATATACTACGTTTTTTCCTATAGTTACACACTTAGGATAAAGTTTCACTTATAAATTAGGTGTGGTAAGAGATTAACAACAATAATAAAATAGAACGACTATGACAATATACTGTAATAAAAGTTATGGGAATGTGGTCTCTCTTTCAAAGTATCTTATCGCTACTGTACTCACCCTTCTTGTGATGATGTGAGATGATAAAATGCCTGTGTGATGAGATGAAATGAGGTGAACAATGTAGGCCTTGTAGGTAGCATTCGGCTACCACTGACCTCAGGATATGTCAGAAGGAGGAGCAGCTGCTTCTGGACCGACTGACCTCGGTAACTGAAACTGTGGGAAGCAAAACAGGGGATAAGGGGTTACTACAACTCAGAACAACCCTATGAAGTTCATAGTCCTAGTCTCATTGTACATGTATGGAAACTAACATTCAGAAGAGGGGACTAGTTTGTCCCAGGTCAAACAACTAGTAGGATACTAGTTGAAAAATTATGGAACTTTTGAAAAATTATGCTGTGCTAACATAATAACATTGGAGACTTGGGGGCCTCAAATTCAGAGTGATTTCGTTCTCAGGATATTTACCAATAGCTGAAGCTACATGGACCAGGAGGCGGTCCATGTAAAACAAACACCCTATCCCTTTCTCTCCCTCTCCTTCTCTCTGTTTCTAGTGTTTTGGCCCACGGAAATCAAGTCTTAAAGGGAGATTTCACACAAGTGTTTTTTCTTAATCTGTTACTTTTTTTCTTCTTTGCTAAACATGGAATCCGATCAAAGGTCAGTCCTACTATCCATTACAACTAATCACCACTGTAAATAAATCCTATGTTGCTTTGTTTAAATAGCATTCAGGTAATTTCCTAATACACAATTTCAGGTAAGTACCTATTTTTCATATTTTTATGTTGAATAACACAGATACGTATAATCATTGTATTCAACATACTATGTTATTCGTCTGGTAGGACTGTGTCCAGGGTTAGCGCTCTAAAAAGTTGGTCACTGTACACTACACTCAAAAGAGGAGCTTTTAAAATACCCAGCTGCACGAGGGCCCATTCCTAGAAATTCTGATTCAATTGGTGTCTCGCTGGTGGAATTTTAGAACGCTCAGGTGATTCTTACTGGAGATTCCGGACTGCTCCGCTGGGCGGGAACCGGGCGGGGCGGGGCCTGGGAGTCACGTGCCTCACCCGGCGCCCTCTGAGGCCGTTGATTGGCCCCTACCACAGCGGCGGGTGCGTGAGACTGGAGGCTGCAGCTCTCTGAACCTGACCAAAGAGTTCCGAAGCCTCCGCGCTTCCTAGAAGGTACGCGGGGCGAGACGCGGGGCGAGACGCGGGGCTCTCCGCGCGCGAATGAGGGTCGGCGAGTGGGGCGGGTTTCTTCCGCATTCGCGCTCTCGGGTTGGGGGGCGGCCATTGGAGGGGCGCCGACCGCATCGCGGGTCTGGTCGGGAACCTCGAGAGGGGAGCCCGGCCCCTATGGCTGCTGCAGGTAGACACTGAGGACTTCCTGGAGGAGGTGAAGCGGCGGAGGGTCAGAGGAGCGCCGCAGTTGTCGGGGGAGAGGAGCTAGGGGGCGGGTAGCGCGGGCGAAGCCCCAATGGCCCCTCCACGGCAGGTGTCAGGGCTCGAGAGACCCTCAGGGGAGGGCGCAGGGCACTTACGGAGCGTCTTCCTGAAGATGTCAACTTGTGAATATTTTCCGTGGTGTAAGGAAGAGCAAGTCGGATGAATGAGAGGCTGGTGAATGCTGTGGTTTGGTTTAGTTGTAGGAGAAAGCAGATGTGATTGGACGTTTCAGGAGTTCACATTATTGAGAAGTGGCAGGCATTTAAGATTCTGGCTTCCAAATGCACCATGTTCACGGTAGACAGATAGTTTAGATAATGAAAGGTTTGAGGTCCCTTCCCCAATCTTGAAGTCGTTGGTCAGTGACATTTTTTGGAATGCCTCCTTGCTTAAAAGACAGAGCATCTTCCAAATAATATTTTTAGGGAACGTGAATGGTGCGAGAGACTTCCTTAAAAATGCACTCACAGAAAGCAAGGTTCACCGGTGGCCAGAAAAGCATAAGGAAAAAAACAAAATGAAAATCACCTCTGTCCCATCACTTGTGTATTCCCAGAGAGTAATGATGTTGAGTTTCTAATGTGAAAGAAAAACCAAAGTAGAGACCACAGTTTGGATATACCCCCAGGCCAACCACCCCAAGCTGTGGAATCAAAATTTGAGCTGTCCTAATTTCCCCAAAATGCTGACTCTTCTTTTAGGAAAATTTAGCTATCTTCATGTCATGGTGACCTTGTAGCTTCCTAGCCAATTAGCTAAAAACAAGTAAGCTTCTGCAGTGCTTTTTAGTCTAGAAGGATTGTAAGTTTAGAGTAAACAGTCACAATAAAAAGCAAGGTACTTCCTCATTTCGTGTGTAGGGGTGGAGAAATAATTTTCTTACTCCATTCTTAGCTGAGATCCCAGCAATAAAAGATTAAGAGAAAAACAAGTTTATTAACATGTATGGGTAGGAAATACAGAGAAATGAGTAACTCCTGCAGTGGGTTAGAATTCAGGCCTAAAAATAAATAAGTTAAAAAAATCTTTAAAGGGGCGCCTGGGTGGCTCAGTGGGTTAAAGCCTCTGCCTTCAGCTCAGGTCATTATTCTAGAGTCCTAGGATCCAGCCCCACATCAGGCTCTCTGCTCAGCAGGGAGCCTGCTTCCTCCTCTCTCTCTGTGATCTCTGTCAAATAAATAAATTTTAAAAATCTTAAAAAAAAATTCAGTCCTAAATACCCTCTTAATCGGGAAAGGGGAGAGAGGATGTAGGCCTCTTAGAGGAGAATAAATGAGTTTTAGGAAAGACGAAGGGGTCCTCAGAAGAGCAGACAGGAGGCCTGACGGCTTATGACAGTTTGGGGATGGTGTCAACGTCTAGTCTCATCTCCTGTGACAGAAGTCTATCTTCCTGGGAGGGGAATTTATGACAATTGAGTTCCTTTTCAAGGATCGGTCTTTAGGCAGATAAGGGGAGTTCGGAGAAAGGCTTTCTCTGTTTGCTGCTTTTCAAGTGCCTGTAGCTCAAGATAATTATGGGGTGGCATATTCTGCTACACCTTATGCTTTATGAACTAAGCGGTGGCTGCTGAGAGCTCAGCCTCTTCATGCTTTCAGTTTTGAAGTATCCTTGTTTGCTGTGTATTTCTCAATAAATATTCATGTCAAGTAAAGCTCTCTGAATATTCTTTTGACAATGATTGCTTTTGTGTTTGTAATATGTAGCCTGAAATCTCTAACCGCCTTAAAGTCGTTTTTATACTCTCTGAGTTAATCCTGTAGGATATAGAAATACATGAACACCTTCCCCCATCCCCCAAAACAAGAACAAGCAAAGGCTCTTCATTCAGATCCTGCGAATGATCTGGAATGATCAGATCCTGGTAGCAAGGGAGTGAGCTACCAACCCTTGCTTGGCAGAGACCCAAAGGCAGGCAGGGGTAAGTAAGGTTTATGGTGGACAGAAATGGATAACTCAGATGTGCGCAGTTTGGAGGGTGTTGGCTTGAGAAAGCTGGAGGTAGGTTAAATAAATAGAAGCAGAACATCCTATGTGTTTGGGTAGGGGAGTGTATTTGGCTTTCTCTGTTGGTCCTCAGTTGTAGGGAGGAAGTCAGAATTAAGGATAAGCTGGCAGTTACTGACCTGATCTTGGTTTGGGCTGATTGCTGCGTTGGGTGTGACTTGGGTTCTGGGCTGGTTGTTGCAAGGTGTGGGTCAGAGTTCTATTCTTGCCTATGGTCTTGTCCCTTTGTGTATGCAGTCTTTCAGTGAGGTGCTACAGAACATATTCTAGGGAGAAGGGGAGGGCAGGGCCCTGGGAGAAAGCTTTGGATATTGAGCTATCTTCAGAAGTTCCTTAAAGAGACCATTCTAACAGCTCCTTTCATTTTTATCTCCTATTTCGGCACCCAACCTGGTGACTGTATACTGGCTCCGGTGTGTTTGGCCAGTTGGAATTCCCTGTCCCAGGGCTGCCTGGGAGAGAGACTTAAGTTACAACTGGCCTTACTCATTATCTTTTTTTCTCCTTCAGTCCCGCCTGATGGCGGCAGTCCTGCCCCATCTCGGAGACCCGGACTCGGAAGCTGTATTCCAGACAGCTGGGTGGAAGGTGAGCTGGGCTTCTCCTCCCCCTCCTCAGGATAGTCCCGGTAGCCAGGCAATGGCTTTGACTCCTTTGTTCAGGTTGAGCCTTTATTTAATTCGGGGATTTTTCCTTCTTGGAAGGTGGGCTGTGAAGAACCTGAACTCTGGGGTCAGGCAGGTTCAAATCCAGGCTTTGTTGTCAGCAAGTTACATAAGCTCCCTGGGCTCCAGTTTACTTACCTGTAAATGGGATGATACGGCCTATGACCAAGAGTGGTGAGAATTAAGTGAGGCACTTAGTCAAATAGGTCAATAATACTTTACATAGTATCTAGTTCTATTTTATTTTTTTTTAATTTTTTTATTTTTTTAATATTTATTTATTTGACAGGCAGAGATCACAAGCAGGGGGAGAGGCAGGCAGAGAGGAGGAAGCAGGCTCCCCGCTGAGCAGAGAGCCCGATGCGGGGCTCGATCCCAGGACCCTGGTATCATGACCTGAGCTGAAGGCAGAGGCTTTAACCCACTGAGCCACCCAGGCGCCCCTCTAGTTCTATTTTAAACACTCTGTGAATTTTATTTTTTTTAAAGATTTTATTTATTAATTTGACAGAGACAGACACAGCGAGAGAGGGAACACAAGCAGGGGGAGTGGGAGAGGGAGAAGCAGGCTTCCTGCAGAGCAAGGAGCCCGATGCGGGGCCTGATCCCAGGACCCTGGGATCCTGACCGGAGCCGAAGGCAGACGCTGAACGACTGAGCCACCCCAGGCGCCCCCACTCTGCGAATTTTAGATATGTTATCATAGTTGTTCATTGTTTCTGTCAGTGAGTGTTACTGTGAATCAGATATTATCCTTTGTGCTAAGAGATAAACTTTCTGAAGGAGTTTACAGGTTTTTTGTTTTTTATTTTTGTTTTTGTTTTGTTTTGTTTTTGTTGTTTTTGGAAAGGTAAATATGTAAACAGACTCTTGCATTACAGGGATAAATTCTGATCTGGGCATACTAAAGGGTACAAGGAAGTTTACTTACTGAATTTGTAACATTATGGAAGGTGATTCTAAAAAGCTGCATTTAAAAGTAAGGAGACAGGGGTCGCCTGAGTGGCTCAGTGGGTTAAGCCTCTGCCTTCGGCTCAGGTCATGATCTCGGGGTCCTGGGATCGAGCCCCGCATTGGGCTCTCTGCTCAGCAGGGAGCCTGCTTCCTCCTCTCTCTCTGCCTGCCTCTCTGCCTACTTGTGATCTCTCTCTGTCAAATACATAAATAAAATATTAAAAAAAAAAAAAAGACAAGTTAGGAAGCCATGGCAACGATTTTGGAAGAAGGTTGGACAAGAGGGAGGGAATTTGAGTTGTTGCAGTTCGACCACACTGCTCCAGTGTGTCTGAACTTTCTGAGGAGTCCTAGGCTCTACCTGCTTCCCTGGCTTCGTCCCCAGCGTGCCCTGCCCACCAGAGAACCCGAGGTGCTCTTCTGTTCCTTCATTCCTGCGCATAGCCTGCTCTCTCCATACACAGGCAAACTCGCATAGTCATATTTCAAGACTGAACTAAAAACTCCTCTTTGTGAAACTCTCCGACTTCCTACATTAATAGCATGACTTGTCCCTGTGATCCCAAGTAGGCAGGGGAATAGCTGTTGCAGATGTGTGGTGAGGCCTAAACGAGAGGTTGACTTATGGAGTGACTGGAAGTGAGAGTAGTTTTATCCTAGGAGCTGGTTCGGTAAGGGAAGGAGAGAGAGCAGAAATCAGACAGGAAGGCAGGCACAGGAATGTCTTTTTAAAGATTTTATTTATTTATTCGACAGAGGGAGATTACAAGTAGGCAGAGAAGCAGGCAGAGAGAGAGGAGAAAGCAGGCTCCCTGCTGAGCAGAGAGCCTGTCCGATGCGGGACTCCATCCCAGGACCCTGGGATCATCACCCGAGCCAAAGGCAGAGGCTTTAACCCACTGAGCTGCCCAGGCACCCCTAAATAAATAAAGTCTTAAAAAAAAAAAAGAGGGGCTCCTGGGCAGCTCAGTGGGTTGAGGCCTCTGCCTTCGGCTCAGGTCATGATCCCAGGGTCCTGAGATCGAGCCCCACATCGGGCACTCTGCTTGGTGGGGAGCCTGCTTCCTCCTCTCTCTCTCTGCCTGCCCCTCTGCCTACTTGTGATCTCTGTCTGTCAGATAAATAAATAAAATCTTAAAAAAAAAAAAAAAGAAGTTTTGGCATTTTTGCTGATGAAGGGGAAGGAGTGTGGGGAGTGAGTGTTTAGGAAAAACACTCCGGTGTTTCTCTGCTTTCTCCTTTCATGCCACACTTAGGACACCAGACATGCTGGGGTTTGTCCCACACATCAGACAATTCTGTGACACTAGTAGGGTAGGGACACCTGCAATTTAACTCAGTTTTGACACTTTCTACTTGGAGTTTACATCAGACCCCATGGGGTAAGGGCTCAGTCCCATGAGACTGCCCCTCCCCCCACTTCAGCCACCAGCCGGTTTTAAGTCCAGGTTGAAACACCTGTGCCTTGACTGGCTATATATTTGGAGCTTCCCATGACCCCCTTTGCGGTTTGATGAATTTGCCAAAGTGGCTCAAAGAACTCAAGAACACTGTTTACTTTTACTAGCTTTTACTAGGTTTATTATAAAAGGCTGTGACTTGGGAATAGCCAGACAGAAGAGGGGCAAGAGCTTGCATGTTCTGAGTGTGCCACATTCCCAGCTCTCCATGCACTGGCCAACCCCAAAGGTGCCTAAACCCCATTCTTGTGTGTGTGTCTGCGCGTGTGTGTTTAAGATTTATTTACTTATTTGTCAGAAAGAGAGAGCACAAGCAGGCAGAGGCAGAAGCAGGCTCCCCACTGAGAAAAGAGCCCGATGTGGGACTCGATCCCAGGACCCTGGGATCATGACCTGAGCTGAGGGCAGCCACTTAACCAACTGAGCCAACCAGCCATCCCTCTTTTGTGTTTTTATAGAAGCTCATTACATGGGCTTGATTGAGCAAATCATTGCCCTTTTGACTGATTGGATCTCCAGCCCCTCTCCCTGCTCTGAAATGGGGGGTGGTTCAAACACTCTAATCGCATGGCTGGTTCTTTTGGCAACCAGCCTGCCATCCTTGGGGCCTTTCCAAAGATCACCTCATTAACATAAACTCAGGTGTGGTGAAAGGAATTTGTGATGAATGTGGAGACTCTCCTTTCACCTCTGGAGCTATTTCAAAACCCAAGGACAAAAGACCAAACATAAAGAGAGGCTCCTGCTCTTATCCTTTAGGAATTCCAAGGGTTTTAGGAGTTCTGTGTCAGAAATGAGGATGAAGATTAAAACTATATTTCTTTTTAAGATTTTATTTATTAGAGCACGTGCACGAGAGGAGAGAAGGGGCAGAGGGAGAGGAAGAGGGTGAGAAGCAGACTGCCCTCTCAGCAGGGAGCCTGGCTCAATCCCAGGACCCTGAGATCATGACCTGAGCCCAAGGCAGATGCTCAACCAGCCAACCAGTGCCGCTAAATACATATTTCTTGTTAAAAATCACAGCACCACAGGGGAAAGAGAGTAAAGATATAGAAAAGGAAGAGTCCTCATCATTGGATTAAGACCCTGAGGGAGACATGAGGGAATGGAAACTGAGGCAGAAGGGGAAGGATTGCTAGGAGGACAGCTTCTTTCGCTGAGGGAAAAGAGAAAGGGTTGAGTGAGAATGTAGGTAATGCCTGGCGGGGATGGCGGGGGAGTGAATTAGGGAGCATGTGCCCTCTGGGCTCTTTCCTGGGACCTAACTGGCAATGACTTCTGGAAGGGAGTGGTGTGGTGAGCACATGTCCTCCTAGGCCCCTCTGAGTACCTCCCACTGGACTGTTACCGTGTTGACTCCATCTTTCCCCCTGGATGGTCCATTCCCTAAGCAGGTACCTGGGCTACTATAGAATCATACAGATTGTGCAGGTAGCAACTCCAAGGGATCCCATTCACACAACTGTGATATAAATGGTGTGCTGTAGGTTAGAGCAGTGCACAGCCTGAACAGCTGTATCCTGTGGCCTCAGCAGGAGCTGGAACCTTTATTGCTGGCCTATGGCTTAAAGGCTAACAACTTACTGGTGCCCAGTGTTTCTTGAAAGAATGAGGGTAGTAAAGGTACAGAAGACCCTGGGGAGGAATAGGAGAGTGAGAGTTTGGGGCAACATTAAAGGCCATATAACTGAATGTATAGAGATTACCCTGGGGGAGATGAAGCCATTTTATTCCTCAGTGCTTGCTCACACTCATGCAGCAGCAGAGAATGTCAGCTGAGGAGACCAGCAGGACAGCTCTGGTAGGAGAGACTTTTGGGATGGTGGTGGGAGGGAACTTGAAATGGTAACTCTGAAAGTCAGGCTTGGTAGGGAGGAAAGAAGGGCCCTGTACTTTGGAATTCTGGTGTTGGTTTCCTGACGGGTGGTGGTGGTATTTCCTATTACTGAATGCCCTTTCCCTGCTCAGATAGCCCCTCAGGCTACACAGTTTCTCCTAAGGGAAGAGAGTGTGGTGGGCAGACACCTGGCCTCTGCCCCAAAGGCTGCAGTAATGTGAGGCACCTTCTGTTCTCTGCCCACTTGAGTTGAACATGCGTGTAAATGGAAACTTCTACCATATATATTGTACTAAATAGTCTCTCTTTGCCCACTTTTGCTGTATGCTTCAGCCTCCCCCACTTGGGTCTGTGCCCCCGGAGGCTGAACTTTATACGCCATCAGTGGGTTCTCTTGCCCTCTGGCTTCCAGTTGGATTTTGACAATGGGGTGGAGGGGGTCAGGGGGCCAGAAACCTGGAGGAAGGTGGTGGTCAGTTTTATTCCCACAGCTCCCTGCCTGCCGGGCTGTGGGATGACAGAGGCCGCATAGCCCCAGTCTTGCTTCCTCTCCAACAACATTCTAGATTCCAGTAACCCTCCCCTACCTTCTTCCCCTTCAGACGGGGTGGGTGATTGTTCCCCACGAGAGCCGGCCTTGTTGGTTTCCACGAAACACCTTCCTTTTGAATAGCCTGCATGCTAACTGATCTTTAGTGACCTTATTTGAATATGTCATCTCTTTCCCAGGGGACCCAGGGCAGAGACATATTCCATGTTAAAGGTGGTATTGTATGAGAGCAGGGTCAGCAAACTGACCTGGACCTGGTGGTGACGTTTTACTGGAGCACAGCCATGCCCATCCACTTACCTGTTATTCCTGCCGCTTAATGTGTGCAGAATAATCCTAGCAGAGACCAAATTGCCTAGGAAGCCTAAAATATTTACCCTCTGGTCCTCTACAGAAAAAGTTTGTCTACTCTAATAGAGAAGAAAGAATGAGCTTGGCCGAGTCACTTGACGGCCTCAAACCTCACCTATAGAATCATAGTGATAGCTCACAAAGTTATTGTATGATTTGAGCCTATAATTAGTCTCTGTTTTCAGGAGCTGGTGTCCTTTGAGGATGTGGCGATGTATTTCACCAGAGAAGAGTGGAACAAACTTGACTGGACTCAGAAGGACCTCTACAGAGATGTGATGCTGGAGAATTACAGAAACATGATCTTGTTGGGTAATGACTCGGCTTGAAGATTTGACTCTGAGTGTCTACGCAAGTCTTCAGTCCCTTACTTGCCATTCCAAAATCAGAGAAACTCCAAAAACTATTTTTTACCATAACTCATTTGGCTGCAAGACCCAACCTGTAAAGTCATCAAGTGGTCAAACCTGATCTCTTCCTCCAGGAAGCTATGTCTCATCCTTATTTTTCCCACTTGGTCTTTGTATCTGTTAAGCATCAGAAATATCACTGTGTTTGATTAAGGGTACAGCTCCAACCCCTGTTGGGGGCGGTACATGATAAAAAATAGACACACCACATCACCTTTCTAAAATCTGGAAAAAATTTTGAATCCTGAAACATGCCTGGCCTCAGAGCTTTCAAATAAGGGATTGTGGGCAATGAATAGTTTCCTTTGGTTTAGAGGTCAGAGATGCTTAATCCACTCCCCACCCTGCTCTGCCTCCTCCACATCTATAAGACCTGTAGAATGGGGCGCCTGGGTGGCTCAGTGGTTTGAGCCTCTGCCTTCCGCTCAGGTCATGATCTTGGGGTCCTGGGATCGAGCCCCACGTCGGGCTCTCTGATTGGCGGAGAGCCTGCTTCTCCCTATCTCTCTCTGCCTGCCTCTCTGGCTACTTGTGATCTCTGTCAAATAAATAAATGGAATATTAAAAAAAAAAAAAAGACCTGTAGGAGCCGAAAAGATTATGGCTGATTGGATTCTAAAAGTTAGCTTCTTTTCTCTTGAAACGTCTTTTTCAGTCTTCTCTCTGGAAATGGGTTCCTTCCTTATTGCAGAAATATCAGGGGTCCAAGAAATGACTCTTAACTGACTTCATATCTGAAACTTCACTGCTTTTTCCCTTGGGGAGCCTGCCTTTGTCTTATTCCAGTGCAGTCTCCTCTGGGGGTGGGGGAGCATTTCTTCAACAAATAGCTTTCTTTCTGGAGCCACAGATTTGACCTCCACACTAACAGTCTTGCCACAGTCTTGACCACCTCTTGTGGGATTGTCCACCCACCTCTGGAGTTTTTGATATCTGTTTTCCTTCTAAAGGCATTATAAGAGCAGACTTGAATACACAGAAGGTACAGGAAATTATGATGGGGAGGAGAGAACATTCAGGGATAACGCTGTTCATATTTTGGAATATTTCCTTCCAGTTTTTCTCCCCCATGCTCTTAAAAAATGTAGCCGAACATATTCTTCGTATAATGCTGTAATTCCATTAAATCTTAACATTATAGCATCAGCATTTCCTGATGCTATTAAAAGCCCCCATAAATACAGTAAATGACTGTAATGTAATTCTATTGTATGATCTGTAATATTTAATCATTTTCCCATGTGGGGGTATTTAGTTTGGGTTTTTTTTTATTGTTGTTGTTGTCATCATTTTCTGTATTCTGTATTTACAATTTTCGAATGGATGTTTTTGACCATAAGTCCTCATATAAATTTCTGACTATTCCCTAGGATACAGAATTTTGGTGTTAAAGGGTATGGGCACTTTCAAGTCTCTCTATATTACCCAATGACTTTTCAATACAGATTAGGAAATAAAAATCCTTTGCAGGCCCACTGCCCAGAAATTATCCCCATTAACATTTTGGTTGGACTTTTTCCTTGTATTTTCATATAGATGTATACTTATGTACATAGACATACACATGCATAGTTTAAAAAAAAATTGGATTGTACTTCACATGAGTTTTGCATTCTGCTTTAAAACCTATAGGGAACATTTTCTTATTTTAATATTCTTGAACACATGGATTTTTAGTATCTGCCTAATACTTTTGCCTTCATTGCATTTACATGCCCTGTTGATGTTGACTTTATTTCCAGCTTTGCACTGGTACAAGTCTGCTGAACAGCTCTGGTCCATTCATCTTGGCCCTAATTGTTCCGTAGGCTGTATCCCTAGGAAAGACTGGGCAGAATTCTATTCCCACCAGCCCTTTTGATTATTATCCTTATCTGTTTGCCACTGTAGACCCAAGGGTGTTAAGCTGAGCACTAGGACATCTCTCCCTGACTCACTAACCACATCCCATTTACTTCTCCATGAGTAGGATTTCAGTTTCCCAAACCTGAGGTGATCTGCCTGCTGGAGCAGTGGGAAGAACCGTGGATCCTGGATCTGCCAAGAGCCGGGACTAGGAAGGCTTCCAGTAGTGCTTGCCCAGGTGGGTGAGGAGAAGGCCCAGTTGAGTGGAAATCCTGAAGAGGCGGGAAAGCCACATTAATGAAACCTCTTGTGTGCCCCAGAGATTGAGCCTGGGGTTTGGTGTATCTCCTCCCACTTTTTCATCCCTGCTGCCCTCTGAAAGTAGTACATGTGACCATTAGTCCCATTTTCCAGACGAAAAAACTGAAAGATTCAGGGGCCCCTGTCTGGCTCATTCGGTGGAGTGTGCAGATCTTGATCTTGGGGTCATGAGTTTGAGCCCCACGTTGGGCACAGAGATGACTTAAAAGTAAATAAATAAACTTGGAAAAGATTCAGATCTCTGTCACACAGTAGATTGAGAGTTGGGATTCGATTTCAAGTCTGCCAAGCTCATTCATTGCAGTAAATTTCTTCTCTGAAGCAGCCCGTCCGACGGCTCTTAACACCAAACTAGATATGCCTTATTCTACCCTCGTTACTTTTCCTTCCTCTCTGTTTTCTCTTGTTCCTTTGCTTTCCATTTCATTTTTCACATTTCCATGGTGTTTCTTGACATATCTGCTTTTTCCTACTTACTGTGTCCTGATTGCTGCTTCTGCCTTTTTCCATATCCTTCTCCTCCAGAGTTTCTCAGCCTCTGCTCTGTTGACATTCTGGGCTGGATAATTCTTCATTGTGGGGGGCTGTCCTGTGTACTGTAGGATGTTTAGCCATATCAATGGCCTCTTCCCACTAGATTTGAGTAGCACCACCCCAGCTGTGACCACCAGAGAGGTCCTCTGACATTGCCAACTCTCCCCCAGGAGGCAGCATCACCCCTGGTTGAGAACCACTGCCATATTCTCTTGGCTTTTGTATCTACTTCCCTCTGATTCCTTTCCTATTCTGTCTTACACTGCCCATTTTTAAGGAGTTGTTCTCCCAGAACTATTGAAAACCTGCTTATTGAGAAAGTATAAGATGCCTTTTCTACACTTATGTGACACTACTGAGTAGTTATTTTCTAATGAGTAAGTTATTTTCCAGTGGAGTTGATGGGTTTGTTCCATTCTCACTTCTCTGGCACACACTTGTGCATTTTTCTGTTGGTTAGTTGATGTCCAGAACTCTTTCTGCTATTGAAGCCAGGAGTCCTGTGAAAATCAGAATTTTGGCCCCTTTAGCCAGATGATGTAATAACTAAGTGAGCACTTTTTAGCTTCATTTAAGTGTCTGATAGCACACACTGTTGGCGTCTCTTTTTTTCCTTCTGCAGTACACAGGTTATTTCTATGTTTTCTTTTTATTGGTTAGGTTCTGAAGTCAGATGCAGGATGAAAAAGCCGACTCCAAAACAGAAAATTTCTGAAGATTCAGAGTCCTGTAAGACATCAGTGGTAAAGCAAACAATGGCCAAGAGACCTGCAGAAAAGTTACATAAATGTAGTGAATTGGGGGACCTTTACAGACGTGCGTTCCCTACTCTTGGTGATGAATGCCACAAGGACTTCCTTCAAAACCTTCACCTTAGTCAAGATCATAATGCTCAAACATGGAAGAAGCAGGGCAAATGCGAGGAGTATGGAAAACCTTTCCATCAGAGATCATTGCTTTTGCGGCACAAGCAAATTCTTACAAACGTAAAATCTTATGAATGCAGTGAATGTGGAAGAGTCTTCAGGCGTCAGGCAAATTTCGTTCGACATCAAAGAATACACACGTCAGAGGAGCCCTTTGAATGCGACATATGCGGGCAAGCCTTCAAACAGAAGTCTACTCTTGCTGTCCATAAACAGTGTCACCCTCAGAAAAAGCCATATAAGTGTCATGACTGTGGAAAATTTTTCCGTCAGATGGCATATCTTATTGAACATAGGAGGATTCATACCAAAGAAAAACCCTATAAATGTAGTGAGTGCGAAAGAACGTTTAGTCAGAATTCAACCCTTATTCGACATCAGTTAACCCACAGCGGAGAAAAACCCCACAAATGTCTCCAATGTGGAAAGGCCTTTGGTCGGCATTCGACCCTTCTGAGCCATCAACAGATTCATACCAAACAAAACACTCACAAATGCGGTGAATGTGGAGAGTCCTTTAGCCGGAGTGTAGATCTCATTCAGCATCAAAGAACCCATACCAAGGAGGAATTCTTTGAATGTAGAGAATGTGGAAAAACTTTTAGTTTTAAGGCAAATCTTCATCGCCACGAGGTCATTCATACCGGAGAGAGGCCCTACAGATGTGACAAATGCGGAAAATCTTTCATCTGGCGCACAAGCTTTATTAAGCATCAGGGTACTCACAGAGATATCAATGTGACATTAACTGGAAAAAGACCATTGGAAGACCAGAACTTAGCACTCTTGTAATTATATGTAACTCATTGTTTTATGAAAATTAATAAACAGGAGTTGAAATGGTTTTGCTGTAGGAGCCCTCTTTTTGTAGCTAACCTTCTTGCTGGAATCAAGAATTAATAGAACATGTAATAGGCTATTGTGTTTGGACTCCCTTAAGCTCCTTATACCTTCATTGTCTCAAGTCCAGGCAGAAGGGAGGCATAAAAACTTTGTGGTTCCTTAGCCTCGAGACCATTTGACGGATTATGAATGATGTAGGAATACTTTTCTTATTTCTCGTACCCCTGGGGGAAAAATGTTTTTAAGTAAAAGAAAGGTGTAAAAAGATACTTTTTTTGGTTTTATGTAGAAAAATTACCTGATACTACATTAACTTTTTTTTTTTACGATTTTGTTTATTTGATACAGAGAGAGAGAGGTCACAAGTAGGCAGAGACACAGGCAGAGAGAGGAGGAAGCAGGCTCCCTGCCGAGCAGAGAGCCCGATGCGGGGCTCGATCCCAGGACCCTGAGGCCATGACCTGAGCCGAGAGCAGAGGCTTTAACCAACTGAGCCACCCAGGCACCCCTACATTAACTTTTTTCTTTTTTAAAGATTTTATTTATTTATTTGACAGAGATCACAGGTAGGCAGAGAGGCAGGCAGAGAGAAGTGGGGGTGGGGAAGCAGGCTCCCTGCTGAGCAGAGAGCCTAATGTGGGGCTCAATCCCAGGACCCTGAGATCATGACCTGAACTGAAGGCAGAGGCTTAACCGATGAGCCACCCAGGTGCCCCTAACTTTTTAAAAGTAAAATAAAGGCCACTCACAAGTAACTAGTGAGATTATGAATTACTAAAATTTGGGTGCCTGGCTGAGACGTCGTGAATTCAAGCCCCACTTTGTGTGTGGAGTCTGCTTTAAAAAACTCACTAAAATTTATCCATAAACTAAAATTAGTGCGCTACTAGATTCTACTGAGAGGGTTTTTTTTTTTTTTTTTTTTAAGATTTATTTATTTGACAGGCAGAGATCACAAGTATGCATAGAGGCAGACAGAGAGAGAGAAATGTGGAAGCAGGCTCCTTGCTGAGCAGACAGCCAAATGCAGGGTTCGATCCCAGGACCCTGGGATCATGACCTGAGCTAAAGGCAGAGGCTTTAACCCACTGAGCCACCCAGGCGCCCCTCTACTGAGAGTTCTAAGTCAACTGTTGATAGCAGATGCTGTTGGCCTGCCCGCCCTCTGCTTACTCCCTCTGTTGGGTTTCATCTGACTTGCACCGTGTCTCTCGGTCTGCAGGATTTTTCCAAAACCACAAAAGGCCACTGCTCTGTAGGGTAATCACATTGTGGGAGCAGGCCCCAGCTAATGCTTGGTGGGAATTTCACAAACATGATCCTTTCTCCCCTTGGGTGGAATATCTCTGAGGCCTACATTTTACACTTGTTTTCGGTTTTGCCATGGGCTTCTGCATTCACTCACCGTGGCAGCTGCTTTATCAGTGGGCTTCTCTGCTGTCTCTTCCATACTCCCCTGCCAGTGTTTCAACACCTCTTCTCCCCACAAGTGAGTTGCTTGTGCTCAGAAAGTGTCGACTGTAGTCCTCGAGGAGCCCTAGCCCTTTTGCTTCCAGTTATTTCAAGCACATTCTTATGTTCAGGTTACATGGGTTGACCTGACCATATGACTCTTCCCTGCACCCCCAATACAAGAAACCCATTTGAAATTCTAATATCCTAAACATCATCCTAGGTCTGCATTATAAACTGCTATTTGGATGCTCTCCTATAAATCCCCTCTAGTTTCTTCTTGACTTTACTTTCTTACTCCTACCAATTTTATGACTTCTTACCCAACACATAAAAACAAAGTTCTATTGAGGAAAAGGAAGGGGCACCTCAGAAAATTAAGGAATCTTGAGCCTCGCAGGAGGAAAATAACAACAGATTGTATATTGGTTTCAAAAAGCAATAATTTTGGGGCGTCTGGGTGGCTCACTGGGTTAAAGCCTCTGCATTCGGCTCAGGTCATGATCCCAGGGTCCTGGGATGGAGCCCCACATCGGGCTCTCTGCTTGGCAGGAGGCCTGCTTCCCTTCCTCTCTCTCTGCCTGCCTCTCTGCCTACTTGTGATCTCTGTCTGTCAAATAAATAAATAAATAAATAAATAAATAAATAAAATCTTAAAAAAAAAAAAGGCAGTAAGTTTGTACTGGTCAGCATGAACAGGCTAGAAGAACCTAAACAAAGTTGACTTCTGACTGAGGGGGAAATAAGCCATTGAGAGAGAAGCCCTGCTTAAAACAACCTAGGAAGACGGGAACCTATGAAAAGTGCTTCCCTCCACTGTTAAATGGAAGCCATAAAGCTCCCTAATAAAGCAATAAATAAATAAATAGGGGTGCCTGGCAGACTCAATCGTGGAGCATGTGACTCTTGATCTTGGGGTTGCAAGTTTGAGCCCCATGTTGGGTGTAGAGATTCCTTAAAATCTTTAAAAAGAAATACATACATTTAAAAAATGGCAGCTTGGTTTCCTGATGACAGCTCTCCATTGTGTGGCTGAGAATTGATTCGGAAATCAGCAGTCTGGCCTGGGGAGACTCAGCTACAGGCATACATTCAGCTATAGAACTAGAGGCATGCTCTAAAGGCTACCCTTGGGCTGTGGCCAATAGCTAAACTAAGCCATACGGTCTGGCAAGTGGGCCTTGGACAATTAAAAATAAAGTGGGGAGCCCAATTACGATAAGCCTTTTGCCCACTAGAATTATCAGGGTGGGTTCCGAAGAGAACAGATGCTCTAGGTAAACCACTTGAAGTGGCAATAGGAGTACGTGGGCATCCACGATGAGTGGCCACAGGGGCTCTCAAGCCACATCATGTCATACGAGCCCACACTCCATTGTGACCACCTGCTGGGGCACCGGGGTTGCCAAAGACTGTTCAGAATCCTGCCAGGTTAGCACAGTGGGAAATGGGCTCACCAGCTCAGCCTGGCCCACCCCACTGTATGTGCCTAGTAGATAGCCCTGCCCCACGTCCCTTAAAGGAACCTCAGATGCTTCATGAACTTCTGGTCCCTTACTCTCTGGTGGCGTTAGTGAGAAGGCCCACACATGTGCTGCTGTGGTTCCCACCCCCGAGTCCCAGGAGCTTCCCTTTTAACTCTATGCAACTGCCCTAGAGACCTCTGAGTCCTGAGCAGGGCACAGGACCTTCCAGAATAGAACTTGGAAATGTTTGGGGCACCTGGGTGGCTCAGTGGATGAAAGCCTCTGCCTTCGGCTCAGGTCATGATCTCAGGGTCCTTGGGATCGAGCCCTACATCGGGCTCTCTGCTCATCGGGGAGCCTCCTGCCCTCTCTCTCTCTCTGCCTGGCTCTCTGCCTACTTGTGATCTCTCTGTCAAATAAATAAATAAAATCTTAAAAAAAAAAAAAAACAACCTTGGAAATGTTTAAAATGAAGACATACTAGGACAATAGATTCAAATGACCATATCACTCTCTCCCCTAGGTCCAGTCAGGTCTTCTAACACTTTAACAAAAATCTAGCCTTACCATTTTGTTGGACAGGATGCTGTGTGCGATGGGTGGGAGAAAAGTGAAGATTGGAAACATTGTTCCTGCCTGTTATGGACTGAATTATACGCTGAAATCCTAACCCCTGGTGTGACTGTAATTGGAAATAGGGCCTTTAAGGAGGTAGCTGAGGTTAAATGAGGTCCTAAGTGCAGAGTCTTCGGTAATAAAGCCTGGTGTCCTTTGAAGAGGAAGAAATTCTAGAGAGCTCTCCATCCACAGAAACCAACCCTGACAGCTCATTGATCTTAGACGTCTAGCCTCCAGAACTTCAAGAAAATAAATGTGTGTTATGTAAGCCACCCGCTCTGTGGTCCTTTGTTTTGCCTCAGAGCCAACTAATACACTTACCCTTTACTATCCAGGGATAGGACATGGCCTATACACATTAACTTATTGTATATAATAGTTTGCATGGTAAGTGACAAAGCCTGTAGATAATGTTAGCTCAGTAAGGGAAATATTTTGGGGTAGGATAACTAAGAACTGACCCTTTAAAATTGTTTTACAAGAGTGGACTTCTGGGGCGCTTGGGTGGCTCAGTGGGTTAAGCCTCTGCCTTCGGCTCAGGTCATGAATTCGGGGTCCTGGGATCAAGCTCCGCATTGGGCTCTCTGCTCAGCACCTGCTTCCTCCTCCCTCTGCCTATGTGTGATCTCTGTCAAGTAAATAAATAAAATCTTTTTAAAAAAACAAAATCTTTTTTTTTAATGATTTTATTTGACAAGCAGAGATCACACATAGGCAGAGAGACAGAGAGAGAGGAAGAAGCAAGCTCCCTGCTGTGCAGAGAGCCCTATGTGGGGCTCAATCCCAGGACCCTGGGATCATGACCTGAGCCGAAGGCAGAGGCTTTAACCCACTGAGCCACCCAGGTGCCCCAATAAATAAAATCTTTTAAAAAAAAGAGTGGACTTCCCTATTGTTAATTTGGTGCATTAGGGTCCAGGGAAAGGGAGCTGGGATTACTAGCAGAGGAAGCATCTTGACCAAAGGCATCTGTGTGGAACATTGCAGTGTGTGGGCAACAGTCATGTGTAGGGAGGGTGGAAGAGAAAGGGAAGAATGAAGGGAAAGTTAGAAGTACAGAGAGGCCAGTCCGCTCTAAGTTTGTGGCACTCCTCCAGTGAAAAGAACGCTGGGATCAAAACCTGTACCATGTTATCATTACTACTCTATCGTTTACCACCTCTGTGACCCTGGGCAAATAACCTTGGTAAGCATGGGGAGAACACCAGGGAGGTACAGCTCGTGACCCATTTAAACTGACACCATGTACCCATCTGCTCAGTCTCAGCCCAGTACCAGATACGAAATCTCACTGAAATCTGCAACATTCTCCACAGGACTCCCCAAAGCCTGAAGGCACCCAGGCCAGCCCTCTCACCGTCCCTCCTGCTGGTCCCAAGCAAGGTCCAAGGAGAAGGCATGCACTACTGTTCCACCCCATCCAGGATCAAGGAAGTGAGTTCTGGAACGCAAATAATTGAGTTTT